CCCCCGCCCCCGGCGGGAAGCGGGTGTGCCGGAGCCGCGGCAGCCGGCACCCCTCTGGTTGCGGCTCGGGGGGTGGCGTGTGGCCGGGTGCTGATCCAGGCTCTCTCCTCCGTCCCTCCAGGGAAGACGGTGGTGCACCAGCTCTCGGTGTCGCTGGAGGACCTCTACAACGGCACCACGCGCAAGCTGTCCCTGCAGAAGAACATCATCTGTAGGAAATGTGGAGGTGAGCGCCCGAGGGGCCGGGCCGCGGGGTTGCCCGGGGCTCCTCCCGGTGCCGCAGCCCGGCTTGCTCACCCCTCTGCCTCCCCAGGCTGCGGGGTGCGGGAGGGCGCCCAGAGGAGGTGCCCCAAATGCCACGGCTCGGGCATGGAGGTTCGCATCCACCAGCTGGGACCCAGCATGATCCAGCAGATCCAGACGGTCTGTTCCCAGTGCCAGGGCCAGGGCGAGTGGATCCGGCCTCGGGACTGCTGCCTCACCTGCAACGGCCGCAAGGTCGTGCGGGAGAAGAAGATCCTCAGCGTTCACCTGGATAAAGGTGAGACGGGGCCGCCTGGGGAGCGGGGTCGCCCCCAAAACGGCCCCCGCGCCCTGAGCTCTCCCCGCGCACCCCGCAGGCATGAAGGACGGGCAGAAGATCACCTTCCACGAGGAAGGGGACCAAGTTCCCGGCCTGGAACCCGGCGACATCATCATCGTCCTGGATCAGAAGGAACACCCCGTTTTCCGACGCAGCGGTGACGACCTCATCGTCAAGAGGGAGATCAGCCTGGCAGACGCCCTGTGCGGCTGCCGACAGGTGATCCGCACCCTGGACAACAGGACCCTGCTCATCTCCTCCCAGCCAGGTGGGACGGGGTCGGGTGCTCTCCGCTAGCCCTGCGAGGAGCCGCAGGGCTGCCAGGCACAGCGAGGTGACGCTGTTCTTTGTCTCAGGTGACGTTATCCGACCCGGGGACCTGAAGTGTGTCCCCAACGAGGGGATGCCCGTCTACAGGAGCCCCTTCCAGAAGGGAAAACTCATCCTGCAGTTCCAGGTGAGGAGCTGGAGCCGGCGTCCCCCATCCCTGGGGTCCCCGCGTCTCCATCCCGTGCCTCCATCTCCTCTCTCCGGTCGCAGGTGAAGTTCCCGGAGCCAGGCTGGCTTCCCACCGACCGCCTGCGCCAGCTCCAGGCCTTCTTCCCGCCCCAGGAGGAGGTGATGGCCACCGAGGACACGGAGGAGGTAGAGCTCAGCGACTACACGTCCCACGGCGGGTCGGGCCGACGGCCCTACACCGGCGAAGCCTACCACGAAGACGACTTTGAGGATGGCATGCGCCAACACGTCCAGTGCCAGACCTCGTAGCCGGTGGGGGGCTGGGGGGGGGGCTCCAGCGGCAGCCGGCCCCGTCCCCCGGGGTGGCGGGGCAGGGCTGGGGCCGCTCGGGCGGGGAAGGGGGCTCGGAGAGCCGTCACGTTCAGGGATGTACATAGGTCGCCTTTCCGACAGCACTTACCCTCCCTCGCCGCCCCTGGGGAGCCGGGTGCGGGGCTGCCCCGCTTCGGGGACCCCCCCTGCTCTCCCGCCAAGGGGAGAGGCTGGGGACGAGGCCCCTCTCCGACCTCCCCCGGAGAGGGAGCCTGATCCTCCCTCCGGCTCCGGCTCCCTGCCGGTGGAGGAGCCGCCGCTGCTGCGCTGGCCCTGGGCTCGGTGGGATCCAGCGGGACAGCGCAGCCCCGGACTGGTGACGAGGAGGAGGGGGACAACACCTTCCCCCCTGCCTCAGTTTCCCCACCTGCGGTCCGGTGGGGCAAAGCCTCGCAGGAGCCGAGTTGGGGAGGACGGGAACTGCCCGGCTCAGCCGCCGTCCCCCGCCGGGGTCCCTGCCACTGCCCGGGCCCCCCGAGAGCCCTTGCTTTGCCCGTTTCTTTCCTTGCTGGAGCCTGGGTCAGGCCTGGGGAGCGGAGGGGGTTTCTCTTTTCTCTTTGCACAGAACAGAAGGGGGTTTGGGGGGGAACCCGTCCCTTTAATTTATTTTTGGAAGAATTTTAAAACATTTTTCTTCTTTTTTGGGGGGGGGGGGGGGGGGGGGGAAAAATTTTTCCAGGGGTTATAAAAAAAAACCCGGG